AATTAGTTACTTACACGTCATTGATGTGCATTTTAAATGTTTATTTTTTAGCCTGATTTTAACCGAGAATTTTACTTTTCCAAATCTAATATCAGGATTATTTGTTTGTATAGATCAGTGTTTCCTGATTTATTTTTCCCGATACAACATTTTCACCCTAAGCCAAGATATCACCCCTCCCCCATACCTTTCCAAGATTGGAATGCACCTTTTGAGTTGGGCAAATAATATGCATATATTATTGAAAATCTTCATTCTTTTCCCTATCAGTATGTATATATTTTTATATACTTTTCCCTATTAGTAAGTATACATTTACATGAATTATTCTTGTAGTGGCAAATAATGCAAGAGCTAGCAGGAAGAAAACCCAGTGTGATTTCACAGTTGCACAGACTGATGCACATTGTAGGTTGTGGTGCTTGGGGAGTTTGAAAGTTAACATTTTGAGTCTACCAATCTGTGACCCCAATACCCCCACTGTAACCCTGAAATTCCAAACACTTGGTATAGATATTAATAATATTAAAATGTCAAATATCCATTGATTTAATTCAGACCAATGATAAAAATGTAAATAATACGCTCATATACTTGAGTATTTCTTTTCAGTGTAATGAAAAATTAATGCATAGGTTAATTTTTTATATGGAAGCCTATAGTGGCCAATCTTGAGTAGCAAATGCAATCAAACCTTTCCAGTGTTATTTACCATTTAAACATTACAACTTAAAAACCCCTGAAAGATTAACATGTAAAAATGACATCTTCAAGTTTGATTGATTTCTTTGGCTGATCAACCCTTTTTCGGTTTATTTAAAACCAAATCATATTTTGGACTGTAGATTTCTTAGCAGACCCCAATTTAAGTACTGACTATGCTCAATGCTGATTAACTTTGGTGATCAAACAAAAACCAGGGTTTTCAGACTGATTTGACCATAGGCCTTTTCTTGTTCTCCTAGTGCTACCTTTCCTGAGTGTATTATTACTTATGAATTTTAATAGCATGCAATATTTGAGATGTTTGCTCTGTTGGGTGAATAGATTTTATTCTGAGAATACATTTTTTGTGACAAGTTTAAAGATATAATGAATGAAAATATGTTTGGTTTGTGTCTCTAATTAAACAAATAAACACAATTTACTTCTAATGATTTTGTATATTCAGTTAATGACAAAATTTCCTACTGTAATAATTTATACTATTTAGAATTGATAAGGCAGCAAACACTGGCTTAAAAGAACATGCAAGCTTTTAATAAAAAATATCTGAATTTATTTTCTCCAAATTTTATCAGATAAAGATATTTGAACTGTTATGATGTGACACAACATCTATCTAGAGAGAAAGAAGGAATTTTGCTTAGAAGTGATGGGTATAATAATATTATAAACTGAAAAGTGATCAGTTAGTTCAGCAAAAGGAAGCAGAACAGTCATTTTAGACAAAAAGGACAAAAAACATACTGCAAACTTTTTACCTAAATATACAGATACTTACATCACTGTTGGAATTTTCTCTGATGAAAATGTAAGTTTTTATAAATAGCATGCAATATTTGAGATGCTTGCTCTGTTGTGTTAATACATTTCATTTTGAGAACACAAAATGAACAAATACAGTTTTACTCTTGAAGCTTTTAAAACCTTTATCTTATGTCACAGTTTTTTGAACTTCTGATGGTGGCTCAATTTTTTGATTAATGGAGACATTTTTCAAATTTAACTGAGATACTTCGTTGATTCCACCCACCATGGTCTAACTTTACAAGTCAGATCAGACCAAACAAAATCTAGGAAAGAGCTGCCAAATCCTCTCTTTCCAGCTGCAACCGAGTACAAAAGTGTTTACATAGCCTTGTGGGTGAAGGATGATTTTCCACATTACAACTCATTTCCCACAGACACAACATTGCAAGCCTCCCTACTACTCTTTCTATTTCCATGAAAAATGTTCTGACACTCTACATTCCTTACTTTATAAGTTAAGACATGTCATAACTTGTACTCAGGGTGGGTAACCACCCCTATTCCATTGGTAAAAAAAGTTCCATTCAGACAGCTGTTGCACTAAGAGGATGCTTCCCTTGACCTCTACAATTTCAATCTGTTCAAGTAATCCTCTATCTTGATTGGCTCTTGGACCTTATATTGTGTGAAAAACAATGTAAATAAAATGCTGCCTATTTATCCATTGTTGTGTGTCTACTAGTGAATCTGTTATTATTAAGTCTCAGTGTACTTCTAATACATTATCTCAAAAAAATTAAAATATCAGGGAAAAGTTTTTTTTTGGTAATTTAATTAAAAAAATAAAACTTTTTCATCTTCTAAATCCATTATATATAAAGTGAAATATTTCAAGATTCTTTTTGTTTTAATTTTGATGATTATAGCTCATGAAATTCAAAAATCTCTTATCTCTAAATATTGGAATATTTCATAAAATCAATAAAAATATAGATTTGGTTGGGGGATCCTTCTGCATGAATTATTGTATAGGTACTTTATGATATGGAAGTGATCAGCCTCTGACACTGCGTAGGTGTTATGGACACCCAGGTTGTTTTGATGGTGGTCTTTGTTGGGTCTCATATTCCATAAGATTCTCTATAAAAATCCCCTATACCAAAATATTAGAATATTTCATAAGATAAAAAAAAAATGGATTTATAACACAGAAATGTTGAATTATTCAAAAGTATATTCATTTATGCACTCAGTATTTGGTTGAGGCTCCTTCTGCATGAATTAGTGCATCAATGAAGTATGGTGTGGAGGTGATCAGTCTGTAACTTTGCTCAGATGTTATGGAAGCCCAGGTTGTTTTGATAGTGGTCAGCTATATTGTTGGGTTTGGTGTTTATTAGTCTCCTCTTAACAATATCTTATAAGATTCTCTATAAGGCTCAGGTCAGGCAATTTATATGAGGATCAGCAAACCAGTTTGGGCACAGTTATCAGGGTGACAAGTCCTGCTAGAAAAAGAAATCAACATCTCCATAAAGCATGCCAGCAGACAGAAGCATGATGTGCTCTAAAATCTCATGGTAGAGAGCTGTATTGACTATGAACTTGAAAAAACACAGTAGACCAAAACCAGCAGATAACATGGCACCCCAAATCATTGCAACATGGATTCTTTTCCTCCCCCTTTTTATTCCAGACTCTGGATCACTGGGCAACAGTCCATTTTTTTTCAGTCCTTAGCCCAAGTGAGATGCTTCTAACATTGTCTTTGGTTCCAAAATGACCTGACACTAGAAATGTGATAATTGTAGTTCATTTCCTGCCCTTATCTGTGAGTTGTGGCTCTTGATACACTGACTTCCGTCTGTTTACTCACACCCAAGTACTTGAATCTACTTAGCTCAAAGTTGCAGTTATCTCTCTCTTGCTGGTACACATTTTCTGACCACATTTTGCCTTTCCAGTTAACTTTCCATGCAAAACAGCTGTTGTAACCTAGGAAAGGTTACTGAATAGAATAATCACATGAAGGCTGGTAATGAATGATAATACTAAGGACACGAGCAACACATATAAGATTGGTCAGTGGTGTGTAGAAGAAGTACTCAACTGCTAGAAGTAAATTCCACAATCAATCTCCAACTGCAGGATATCAACCAACTGCATCATGCAGTCAGATGTGGAACAAAATCGAATTTAATGTGGAGTATCCATGCCTATAGGCTCAGCCAAAAATTCCCCATAGACACTGTATAATATGGGGTCAGGTAGCTGTTTCCTGAGACAAGACTCTGTTCTTCAACATCGCCTTGTCTGGAGATCCTCTCTGCTTAGAGACAGAGAGTTTGACCAGCACAGTTGTGAGATGAATCTCCAACTGCAGACCAATATACAGTATTTACTACTGTATTTATGTGAATGGGGATATACCCATTATCTTCAGTAGGTATGCTACAACAACTCTCTTAACGATGACCTTCTCTGGAGTACTATCTTCAAGAAGGGTGTCAGTGACAAATTAGGCACCTTCCTCAGGATTGTGAGATTTAAAGTGAGTTTCATATTTATACTACATAATGATTTACTCAAAATAGAATATTCTAGTATTGGGATATATTTTTCTATTTTTTGTGCTGTCAGCTGTAATTATCAAAATGGTTGATAGAATATATCTCCTGATAATAGTAGATCTTATTGGTATATTGTTTCTGTAGTCACAATCCAAGAGATTGTAATACAATCAAAAATATTGAAATTGTTCTGTAAAATACTCAGTACTCCATTGACACATATGAAATATTATACTGATAAAAACTACCTTATAGTAGTTAATAAAATTAAAAGCAAATATGAAATTATTAATACAATAAAATAATTGAATAACTGATTTGTTTTTTTTATTTTTTTTTACAATTTATCAACCCTTTGTAGGGTATTTTAGCCTTTAGCATTCAACATATCAAACACTCTCTGTAAAGTCTCACTGCTTGTGTGATTTTGTTTGTTTGCTTGTTTAATGGCATATCAACTCCTTATGGGTCATTTAAAGCTGAAATTTAATTTTCTTGGGAGCTTGAGTAATTTTTTTTTTTTACAGAAATCTGTTGTTAGTAATTTATTTATTGAAAATTTATTGCTGGTATTTTTTTTACTATGAAAATGTCTTTATATATTTTCAGTTTTGTAACCTCAGTTAGAGGGTTCACTATATACCCATAGCTGGGACCCTAAAAGGTGCTACCACTCTGGGTCAGGATGGACCTGGGAACAACAGCAATTAAGAGGTGGTTCCACACTCATCAAAATCTCTCAATCCTAGGCCTTGCTGATGGATTTAGTTTATTGTCATATATAGGATGGCTGTTTGAGTGACTTTCTGCATTATTTGTGATGATGTCATATATTATGGTAGAGTACATATGAGACAGGTTATGGCAGTTGAACATTAAGAGCTGATATTTACAGGGAAGGTTGAATTCTAAAGGGTTAAAGTCGAAACATATTTTAGATTGTAGGAGATTACTTACAGTACCTGGTGTTCCCATCTAAGTACTGGCCAGGCTCAATACTGCTTAACTTCAGTGAGCAAATGAGAACCAGTGTTTTCATTGTGATTTGACCTTAAGTACTGTAGAATTATACTTAGTATTATCCAATTATATGGAACAATTAAAAGTTGTTGAACAATTTTTCAGTTATCTCTCTGAGAATTCTGCTGTGTATAGAATTTTCTTTGTTTCTGAAAGTGCAGCTACCACGAGTCTACAGCAAAATTATGAGATTCTCTTTTTCAGCTTTGAAATTCAATTCAAAGTTGTTTTGTTATAACCTAAAAGGGATTCAAAACTACTTATAAACAGTGACAATGTCAGAAATTATTTATTTGTTCAGTGATTGTATAGTAAGATTAGCAATAATGTCCAATATTTTGTATTCAAGATACACAAAGCCTGGAGCATCAATACTGGGAAATAAGATTGGTTGGAAAAAATTGATTTTTATAGCATTAATCTATATCTTGTACTTTAACTGTTGCCAAACCTACAGAACATTTTTTTCATTGAAGCAAATAACATTCATAAAGCTATAGTGATAGGAAAATAAATAAAAATAAATAAATAAATAATAATAATAATGAGACCAACATTTCACTATCTCTAAAAATAGATGTATATCCAGAATTGCTAGGTCATGAAGTCACCAATCAAAAACTGTCTTAACCAGGATATGAACATCATAGTCCAAAAAGCAAATCAGAAACAAGATCTGTTCCCAACCAAGATATAAGGTCACTGATTGTGGATCAATCAGATACCAAGCAACAGTTTTGAAGATCTTTGGATATGTATATAAAAAGATGGAAATCAATGAAGTAATTTTTATTCATTCTTTGATGGCAGTGTCATTGTAATATACCCAGATCTGAAATACAGCACTTATGTGCGATACACACAGTCTTGCATAGTCTCATAAATCCTTCTATGATTGGTGACTAAGATGTCCACAAAGACCTGTGTTGACATCAAAGCATACTTGCTTTCCTCATTTAAGAAGGCAACTGCTACATTTGAATACATATATATCTTCTCTCACCAGACTCTCTCTCTCTTTCTCTTTTATATACACCATGACATTTACATTTGAACTCTTGAACTTTTAAGTTAACACTCTATCCTTTTGTTTTTATATATATATATATATATATATATATATATATATAGTAATTTATAAAAAGTTATTTTTATATATATATATATATATATATATAGTAATTTATAAAAAGTTATTTTTATATATATATATATATATATATATATATATATAAGCTATTTTATATATATATAAATTCTGTCTATTTTCTTTCAATCCTTACACAAGGCCATATAGATCTATGGTAGGAACAGATGTCATAAGATAACTGCTATCATCTGCCATAAAGCCATCTAGTCATACAATTTTCAAAATAACTCTCTTTACTGCTCAGGTTTTTTATCAAATTTACTCAGAAAGTTGATTGCAATTTTGTAAATTATTTAAGAAAATCAGCTTTGTTCTTTTAAGAAAGAGAAATATATCTTTTAGATGGCTTTAAGATATGAACTGATTCACAGAAAAATGTCAAATAAAACAAAAAGTTCAAGAAAGAAGACAGGACTGGATCTAAAAAGAACAGCTGACAAATGAATTGGAATTCAATAAAATATCATTGCATATCAAATTGATCTTGATTTATAAGTTTTAGATTTAATATTTCATTGATACTAAACATTAAGAAATCAGTATTTTGAAAGAATATTTTTATTGTTTGAGAAGAATTAAATTTATGACATGATCACAAAAACACTTGCTAATGTGTGATTTCTTTGAAGCAATTATCATTACTAGCAAGGCTTAGATATAAAATATCAAGTCACTTATGAATGTATGGCTGATTGTTGATTGCAATATTTTTTCCTTTTACTGGAAGGTTCCTTAAATCAATAATTTAATTCATAAATTTTCTGTGAAAAAATAAAACAAACAAAAACATTGTTTTCAAAAATGAACCACTTCCTTGCTCTTAATTTTAAAGATTTTATAGTTTTTTGACTTTATAAATGTTTTGAAAACCTATTTGCATTCAATTTCATACAATCCCACTTGACAGTATTAAATCTGGTTTGATTTGTGTGTTTGTCTGGTCTTTAGAATTATGAAGAAAAGACAAAGTAATTTATAACTTTTAATTTGCAGACTTGCTTAGACTAACACCTTCATTTTCACTGCTATATACCAGTCAATGTAATTTGCAAAATTCCTTGGGATATTTTATCATGCAGTTCATGCACAAACTTTGTGACTGAATCAGAGATAAGATTAGGCAAGCAAAATAAATTTCTTTGTTCTTTTAAAAGGAAAATTTATAAGATTTTCTAAAGATTACACTAAAGACTGATTATTAATTTGTGAAAGTTTCTTTGCTGTGGAGGAAAATACAATTAAAATACCATTGATTATTAGAGGTGGAGTTAGTGTAATGGTTATTGGGGCAGAAAGTGAATTTGTTGTTCTGTCATCAATTCCTATTCGGTTCTGTTTCATTCACTTTGTGCGAATGCTCTTAGAAAAGACATGAATCTTTCTCCAGCTATGGGTTAAATATCAAGGCAATCTAGGCTATCTTGCTTTGAGTCAACAAACCAGTTTAGGAAAGCAAAACTATGAATTCAAAACCAGCCTGAAGAAAGGGATGGGATATATTGCTCAAGATATCCCACCTATGTTATGGCTGCAATATATGTGGTGCTCCTATGATTAATGGGTTACAGGACTTGTTACATGAGAGATTATTTTAAAAAAAAAGTAATTTTTAATGAATAAATAAAGAAGAGTAGATCGTCAAAAGAGTGAATAATAAACTTTTGTAAATTTTAAGGGATTAATCAAGTAGCATTTTCCTACATGTAAACCACAAATCTGTCATTGGGTGGCATGCCAGCAGCAGCAGCATTTGCAACTGGTGGTCTGCTGCCAGGCTGCCAGCATGTTCACCTCAGCCATGTTACCACTGGTGGACTGCTAGAAAACCGTTAGTGGTACCAGAGGACCTCTGGCATTGCCATTCGTGGCTTGTCTGTGGACTACCAGTGGCTTATATGTAGGGTTGTTATTATAGAGATTAGTAATATTTTTTGATTGAATATTCACCCCAGTATCTGGTAACTCTTGCTAGAAATTAAGTAAATGCAAGTTTCTTTATTATTTAAACACTGTCTGTAGTATTTTTTATAAATTTCATGTTGTTTAATTTTTTAATCCAAATTTCCAATTCATAGACATTTTTTGTCAGGATATTTGCAATTGTTCCAAGTACTCCAACAAGTATTACTATACAATAATTCATCCTGGATTGTTGTTCTCTTGGCTGTTTTATATGTACAACATTTCAGCCACTATACCCTTCAGTCTACTTCAAGTATTTATTGCATTCAGTTTTTATGATGCAACCACTGTTTATTCTGTCCAGTTGAAAAAATAGGGATATCACAGAAATATGCAGTTAAGTCTGGGTAGTAAAAATAATAATAATAAAATGACTTTTTAAAACTGTTGTTATTCAAGAGTTTAAAAAAATAAAATACACATGTGATAATTTATAGATAAAATATTTAAAAATCATTCTATTGTGAATATAAAAAATACTCAATTGTCTTGCTGACTCAGTGCATCATATTATAATTCTACTTATTCATCTGTTAGTAAGTTAGCATGTGCATTACAATCTGACATTACCATATATAAATAATAGTGCACTCAATTTTGATTGCAAGGAAAGATGGAAGAAAAGGATATATCTGTTGCTGTTTGGTTTTAGTGAGAAAAAAAGCAGATATAATGAAATAAATAAAGGGAAGATATATGAAGCAATATCACTGTTATGCATTTAATGTCTGCTTCAGTGAAATAGAGAACCTTGTCAATTTTTAATTTTTTTTATTTGTACCCTCTTACTTCTTTAAGTAATCATTCATACTTAGAATTGTTATTGCAATGTTTTGCTATACTTGTTAAAATCAAATATTCAACAATGCAATGGGAGAATTTCTCAATGTATTTAATAATTGTGAAACTTGCAATTAATTTGAGAATTTTGATTCATCAGAAAAGTCAAATAGGTAAACCATGAAATTTTACCAGTACTGCTAATATATCATCACAAAACCTTAGCCAAAATAGGTGTACTATTCTCAGGGAAAATACGCTTGTCATCATATTTACATTTTTTCTGGCTGGAGCCTAACATTTATGAAGCTTTTCATTTCCTCTCAGTTTCAGTCTACATCCACTGACTTGTTTTTATTGACAGTAACTGAATATGTTCTCCTGTTTGAATTTGAAAATTTCAAAGATTTTTTTCCTATTCACCAGAGTGCTTTCTGGTTTGTGTTCATATTTGTTTGCCTGACTGAATCCATTTTGTTTTCACAGTTCTCAGTGAACCTTTGTTGTCAGTTATGGCAATTTGCTACATTCACTTATATGACCAACACCTTCTTTATCGCATTCTTAAATAGCCTCGTCAGATTGAGACTTTGATATGGATGCCATGCATGGTGCCAAACCCATTCAGAAATATCTAAACTCTCTGATGTATATAATCACTTTCTACGATCAATGCTTAAAAAAAAGGCTTTGAATGAATAAAACCTGATTGTCTTGGCAAAGATCATCATCCTTTGAAAATTGTAGACTGGCAATACAGAATCACAAACAAAGAATCACAAAGAACTGTACCAAATAACAGGAACCACATCACTTGAGGACTACCAACAGCAGTAACAACTAAAATGTACATGTAGCTCAGAGAGAAAATAATGACATAATAAAGATGTTGGCATTCTACACTACATCAAATAAAAGGTTAGGAAGGAAAACACCATTGATACTGGAAAGAGCAATAACAGGTACTGGATATGAAAAATTTATTTTCCTGAAAAATGGTTTTAAGAGAAAGATTGTATAAATTTCAACCAAACACAATACTGGCTGCTTGGTCAATGAATGCTAAATATTTTCTTGCAGGGAAACAGCTAATATTACCATTACAATTCATCTTTATTTCTGTACAGGCAAAGTTTGCT